TGCAGCAAATTCTCACCTTATCTTTACTCCCATGCCTCTCTGATTGGCGGCTGGGAGAAAGTAAAATACCAGGGATGTCTGGGTATAGGTGAGCATGTGACTCGCTCCTTTTCTCCTATGTGTCCGACTAAGTGCCTCCTGGTTTGCCAAGCACCGTCACATGGGGCCAGTGAAAAAGTCGATTGTACTTTTGTGAGCTTCATCAAGTTGATATGAAGCTTGCATGAGGCTTTTCTTACCAGGGAGTTAATGGGTGGATGGAATGGCGGGGGAGCAAGGAAAGTAAGTATATGCTGCTGTGGAGGGGCGACTATATGATCCGTTTCCTTTGTCCTACATGGAAAAAAAGAAAATTCCCTTTTAAGGTTCATGTGCACTTTTGCAATACAATAGTGTGAATGTGGCCTCTAAAATTGCCAGTATTTGCCAAGTTATCCAAATCACCACCAACTGCTAGAAATTATTTGGTTTTGCCACCGCAGTATGCAGTGGAGTCTGCTGCTTGTACTGATGGCCACACAACTGGAGTTAGTCCTAAATCTGTAATGATGGCGAGCACTATGATCTTGAAAGCATGGCGTCATGCAAAATCCTTGTTCTGGGATCTTTTCCTTGATATGATTTGACTGTTCCTGCTTCTATGAGTGTGCTGGATGGCAGATATTGTGCTTTCTCAGTAGTCTACCACTTTAATCCCCATGGTCTTGTAGCTTATCCCTTTTATTCCCATGGTCTTCTAACTTATCCCTTTTATTCCCATGGTCTTCTAGCCTACCACTTTGATTCCCATGGTCTTGTAGCCTACCACTTTGATCCCCATGGTCTTGTAGCCTACCACTTACCTTCACATATCTGCAGCAAAATGGGGGATATCAGTTTCTCATTTGTTTTTTTTTTTTTTTTCTTTTTCTGCGCAATTTTTTGAACATAAATTCCCATTTTCAAAATAAAAAATTTTTTCTGCACACTTTAGAAAAAAATAAATATTGCAAATTGAAACGAAATACACAGCATTTTTAATATACGAAGTGTCTTAAATACATGGGATATTTTTGTGTTTCTTTATACCCAGAATGTCAGCTTTTAAAGCATCTCTGTTACTAATAAAAAAACAAACAAACAGCAAAACAAGACT